TTGTATCAGTTCCAATAATCCCAATAGGTTTTGCATTTGTCTCTTGGTCCGATCGGTTATGAGTGAAGTAAAAGTTCTAGGCCATGATCCCCTCATTGGTTGAAGTGAAATGCACGAATGTGGATTTATGTCTAGAAGATAGGTTAAGCAAGTGGAGGAATGGAGAAGCTAATGGTTGATGTCCCACACAAGTGTCCTCCCAACCTTCACTTTGGCCCAATCTCTCACATGTAGTCTAGTTAGGGTAAAAGCAAAGGGTTTAGGAGATGGATTTCCAAGAGCTATGGTGGAATATGGATCATGTTGCTATCGCGTTCCATCTATCCCTACCATTCCTATGGATATTGTTTATTATTTTGTGCCACTAAGATTTTGGTTTTTGTAAGAAGTGCCAAAACCATTTTGCCAATAAGGATATTTCTTTGATACGAGATTCTTCAAACTTTTGGACTTGCAAAACACCTCCTAGCTCACTGAATGGTCCCGGTCTCCATCATCTGCTCTTTCCATAGAAATCTTCTTATTCGTCTCGCAATTTGCTCTGCTACCCCTGTAAGTACTCAGATCAAGGAAAAAATAAAGTGTTATACTAGACAAACAAAGCTTAGATTGAAGTCACTCTAACTTCTAGAGAGAAAAACACTCTTTTCAATTCTCTAGCCTCTTGACCACTTTATTCTCTATCACCTTCCAAAAATGGTTACTCCTCACATTACCTCCTGAGGGAACTACTAGATATGTCAAGTGCTAATCATTTCTGGCACACCCTATTGACTCCTCTATGCTCACTACATCTTGATACACTGGGAAACTATCTTGGCAATGTCCCTCCTTGTAGGTAGGCGATAAAACCTATCTTCAACCAGAGCAATACACTTGTACCTACCAAGATGAACCTAAGTGCATCTTCCAAATAAGAAATCCTTAATGGAGGTATGTGGAAAGCATGGCCTGGTGGCTTCAAACAAGTAAAAAAAAGCTTCCCCATCTCTACCATGACCGTCCCTGACCCTTGATACATGTAGGATAATCATCCTTTCTTTTATCAAAACCAATTACTTGGGCACTTATCTTAGTTAATATTGCGACTATTCTACTAAGTGCATTGGCAACTTTGCTCTCAATACCTAAACGGTGCTTAAGGACAAAGTATACTCGTTAACAACTCAACTCATTTAACGTGCCTATGGTTTAACTTCTTTTTGAGGATAAGTATCTCAAAGGGAGATGGTCTGGCTACAAATCAAACCTTTGTATAGAAGGTAATACCTCTAGTGGCAAAGGGACTGCATTATCACATTGAATTCCTTATCATGAACAAAGTAGCACTACTTAGTCTCAAACAATTTGTCACTAAACAATTTCTTCTTCTTGACTTAGCACTTCTACTATCTGCATTCCTAAGGCATCACATGCAACCGCAAATAACTTCGGAAGTGGATGCCTTAAAACAAGAGCTTATGCCATCTTATTCTTGATCTCCAAAACTCCATAGTAGTCAAGTTGTCCACTTAAATTCCTTAAACTTTAAACAATAAGTTATGGGAGCCATGATAAAACTAAAACCCCTTATGAATCTCCTGTAAAAAGTTGCTAGACCATGAAAGTTGCGAATATCATAGAGATTATTTGGGTCTGGCCATTCTCTGGGTGTTCTAATCTTCTTTGGGTCAGCAGCTACACACTCAGTAGATATTATGAATCCTAGTTGAGATTGTAAGAAAAAGCACTTCTTAAAATTAGCATACATTTCAGTTTTCTGAAGGGTTTCAAAGACTTCCTAAGATGATCCAAGTGGTTGCTCTTCCCATAAATCAAGGTTTTGCCAAAATAAACCTCAAGAAAAAGTTTTCCACTATGGCCCTAAGATGTGGGTCATTGACCCAGGAAAATGTTGGGAGCATTAGAAAGTCCAAAGGGCATAATAATATGTCCTGGATTTTGAAGGCAGTCTTTGATTTGTTTCCAAGTCTAACCCTAATATGATAGAACCCACAATGAAGATCCATCTTGGAATACCAACTAGAACCTGCTAAAATATCAAACATATCCTCAAGCGTAGGGATATGGAACCTATAGCTGACAGTTAACTTTTTAATGACCCGACTCTAATTGTCTTTCTTAGGGGTCAATAAAGCAGGTACTGCATAAGAACTAAGACTATGATGATATGCTAACTACTCTTCTACTTGCCTATTCAGTTCTTCCTCTCTTTTAGGTTCAAGCTGTAATGTGGAAGGCTAGGCAATTGAGCCCTCGTAACTAAGTCTCTCTTATGTTGTATGTTTCGTAGCAGTGGTAACTCATTAGATTCATATGACATTACATCATAGAATTCCTCTAACAAACTATCCAATTTTGGGGGAAGTTTTGACCTAGGGATAGGAGAGGTGTGGGGGACTTCTTTCAGATCAACGCAACACAACACTCTCCCTCTTTTCACCCTTTCCCAAATTCTTTTTCGTGACAAGGTGAAGATCCTTAGTGGCAGAAACTTCGATGTAACTTTATACTTTTGTGACCCTAGCTCAATTCATTTTGGTAGGTTTGAGGATAATTTTTCCATTATGCTTGAACATGTGTATCTTCTCTTAACCACAATGTACTACAATAAGATCAAATGACCAAGGGTGCCCTAAAATGACTAGGGATGTGTCTATACGGAGAATATTGCCATAAATCTCATCTTGCCCCTTTGGGTGATTGGTAGAATGGTTTTATCGACCCAAACAACAGTAAATGGATGAGGATGGGGATCCATATTAAGTTCCAATTTTCTTGTTGCTATCTTAGAGACCATATTTGCTGCCCTACCATTATCAACAACCAGTTTACACCTCTTATCTTTACATCTAAAAGACTTATGGAAAATAGTAGTATGCTTCCACTCATCACTTTTTATTGGAGTTAAGAAGAGACGTAAAATGACATTACAGTAGCAATACTCTGCATTCTCTAGCTCATTATTGAGGTCAACATCATACTCTAATTGTTCATCAAGATCTTCATGACAATGAACAGCTTTTAAGTTAATGGGCTCTCCTTCCATGACTAATGCTCATGTGGGACAAGGAGCGGTTACATGACCCTTGTGCTTACACTTATGGTAGTCTAATAGAGTTTACAGAGCAATGCTCACTAGCCATGTTAGTAGGTGTAGTATTAAGGGGGCTGAAGCACCAGATTCCTTACCTTTAGTGACACTATCACAATAGGCAGATTAACCTTGGTGGTTGGAAGAGGATGCTTGAGGAATAACCCTACATAAAGTAGGAGGCTTAAGATACTTCATTGTTAGAAGGGGAATAGAGTTTGGCTTCTTTCTATGTTTTAAGGAACAGACCATGTAATGAACCGACCCAATCCCATGCTAGAATCTTCAACCATCTCACACCTATAGACTATCTTCTCAAACTTAGCCATGAACTGCTGAACAGTAGCCATATAGTTTCTATGGATGTAAAGATGCTTAATTAGGTCTTGCCTTATAGTAGAGAAAAACATATTTGGCTTGCAATTGCTACCTTATGTCCATCCAAGAGTGATAGGTAGATCACCTAAACCATCTGAGGAGTTTTGAACAGTTTGTCAAAATCTAATAAAATATCATAGATCTAAAATTCCATCAAATGTCCGTGCACCTAACTTGATCCTTTTAAGATCAGCATGCTTGTGTTCTGTAGACCTAGGGTTCTCATGAATATGTGGGTGTGCTATTGACCTTGCCTAGGCGTGTATGGTTGCTGGGGTTAAGCGTGCAGTATGTCCCTACCATGCTTATGGTTATACACTTCATAGGATTGCCCAGGAAATTCATAGTGAGGGTTGAGGTTTGGAGTTTGAAATCCTTGCCTCTCATGAGGCTCAGCATCTTCTGACGCTGGCATATTGCTAAGTCAGTATCCTCAACTGGGCTAGACTTCTAAATCCAGACGCTATTCTTACTTCTTTAGTAGAGCATATTTGAGAAGATAACTTCATATTTCTAGAATTCTGAAGGTTTCCATGGTTTTGTTGAATTACTCCAGCTAGGGCATCAAACTTTGGATCAAAATTGACTCCTAATCTTGACCCAAATCATGCTCGGAATTTGCTTAGCTCAGCTTGTATCATAATGAAATTCAATTAGGTTTTGAGTGGTGGATGGAGACAAGATGATGAATAAAATGAAGCAAGTAGATACCAAGAGTAAGTCAACTGCTAATAGTAATTCTTTTGCTGCTGTTCTTTTGTGTTCTTTTTAACACGAAAGGCTAAACAAGGACCTGATTAGATTACAATATATAGCAAGTTAGAATAAATAGAAAACTTGTACCTGCTTGGAAGCACAAAAACCTTGTGACTTTACCTAAAAAGTGCTTTAAAAGTCCAGAATGAGTTTTGGACTGTGAATCCTCCAATAAGGACATCCAAAATGAAAGGAGTGTGACTTAAAACTTTGGAAAACCACTGTGAACCGGGTCAAGGATCGGTTTCGAAAAAGCTAAATCGAGCTGGCCTAATCGGTTTAGTCAATTCTGGGTGAAACTGGTCTCAAAAGAACAATCTCACTTGCAGTCCTGCATGTAATATCCATGTGCTGGTCTCTGACAGCCTTCAAAAGTCGGGCTTCTGGCTACAGTTGCATCTGGAAATGCTGATTATGAATTTGGTGTCAGTGTTACTTGTGGCAGTCAAGAAGGATGGTTTTCAGCAATGCAACAGTGAGACAACCTCAGTGTGAAGTGGACAATTCCAGTGGTCATGATCCCTGAAACCTGGTGGAGGAACCAATCAGACCCATCTGGGACCAATTAAAGGGGCAGTGTCAACCACCTCCCAACGGTGGCTAGGGATAGGTTGAACTGACAGCTACTCATATGTTTTTCTCTCCTGTTGTTGGTGTTACTGTTGGCAACTACTTTAGTGTTTTCAGATTTTTTTGTGTTTTGAAAATTTTGGAGGTTTTGTGGGGTGGTAGTGTTATAACAGAGCAAATTTTAGCTTTGGTGCTAAATTAGTGGACCACAGCATATTAAGGTTTAGGGAAAGAGGAAAAATAAAGGAGAAAAAAATATAAATCCAAAGCACAATAACAGGGATTGGCAAAGAACCATAATC